CATGATAGTCACACCCCTGTAAATACCCTCAAGTCCCTGCTCTCTTACCTCTGCTCTTTGCAGTTGGCAATACCAGCCCTGGATGAACCCTGACTTCATGCCTTCTTGGCATCTGTATTGTGAGATCTAAACATTACCGGAGAAAACAAACTAAACCAATGAACAGGCCTAATGTTATATTTATTATTGCAAACTGTAAACGGCAATTTTATTATTGTTGCCATCTTAAATGTAGCTAAGTTACTTTAAAGAAGCAACATGTAAAACTGACAGCCAACTTTAAAACAACACAATGGGAGACAAAACACTAAATGGTATATCCATAGAATACTGAAAAAAAAACTACCTTGTTAGAATTCTATAGGCAGCAAAGCAGATATTTTTCAAGAATGAAAGTAAAATAAAAACATGTAGAGACTAACAAAAACTGAGATACACATCACCAGCAGGCCCATATTAAATAAAATACTTTAAGAACATATTTTAGCAGAATGAAAATATTCCTACACAGAATTAGGAAGGAAAAAAGAGCAACAAAAATGTCAAATATATGGAAGTCCCCCTCTTCAAAAAATATTTACTTTAAAAAATATTAATGTCTTGTCAGGTTTAAAATATATAATTAAAATACACAACTGTAACACCTAAATAAATAGGGAGATGAATGGACTTAAAGGATGCTAGAGCCCTGGCCAGGTGGCTCAGTTGGTTGGAGCATCATCCAGTAAACCAAAAGAGGTTGCACATTAGATTCCTGATCAAGGCACATACCTAGCTTAGGAAGAACTCAGCAAGAAGAGCATATGATGACAACTATAAAATCTTATTGAATGGTAAATTTAAAAATCTGAACAGCCCTAGCTGGTTTGGCTCAGTGGATAGAACACTGGCCTGTGGACTGAAGGGTCCCAGGTTTGATTCTGGTCAAGGGCACATGTCCGGGTTGCAGGCTTGATCCCCAGTAGGGGACATGCAGGAGGCAGCTGATCAATGATTCTCTCTCATCATTGTTTCTACCTCTCTCTCTCCCTCTCCCTTCCTCTCTGAAATCAATGAAAATATATTTAGAAAAATAAATAAATAAAATAAAAATCTGAGCAAATGAAAAGACATCCATCTTCTTAGATGGGATCATTGAATATTAAGCTTCTTAATATCATAACAATGTAGAATTAAAAAGCAAGTTAAGCCCTAACCGGTTTGGCTCAGTGGATAGAGCGTCAGCCTGCGGACTGAAGGGTCCCAGGTTCGATTCCGGTCAAGGGCATGTACCTTGGTTGTGGGCACATCCCCAGTAGGTAGTGTGCTGGAGGCAGCTGGTCGATGTTTCTCTCTCATCGATGTTTCTAACTCTCTATCCCTCTCCCTTCCTCTCTGTAAAAAAACAATAAAATATATATTTTTTTTAAAAAAAAGCAAGTTAAATTTGTGTTCCTAAAAGAAAAAAGGAACATTAGGTAAATGCTGAGGAAATATGAATGAATGATATATGGATTGTTGTTAATGCTAATGCATCAATATGGATTCATTAACTGTAACATACATCATACTAATGTAAAATGTTAATAGGGGAAACAGGGTAGAGAATATATGGAAACTGTTCCATCTTCACAATTTTTCTGTAAATATAAACTTCTAAAAATAAAGTTTATTTTAAAAAGCGTGTTTATAAGACAATCGGGTAAGTTTTCAATAACACAAATGTAATTCCAATTAAATGGATAAAAGTATCTTAAAGTTTAGAGTGAAATACCCAATAAAACAAATAAATGAATGAAAAAGAAAGAAGATATACTAGAAAGCCACTTTAATTAAATCAATATGGAACATTACTCTAGGCATATAATCAGAACAGAGAATCCAGAAATAAAACCCAGTTGATATGAGATTTTAATATATATATGACAAAAATGTATTTCAATTCAATGGGAAAGAGTGATTATTTAATAAACAGTGCTGGCACAACTGGCTATCCATCTGGGAGAATATAGTCAGTCCCCAATCTCATAAAATAAAAACAAATTCCAGATGGAGTAAATAAGCAATGTAATAAATAAAGCATCAAAAAGTTAGACGGAAACCTAGGAAACAACTTTTACAGTCTGTTTATTAACCAGAAAGAAAAGAGAGCCATATTTGAGTTTATAAAAGTTAAAAATGCAAATAATAGTAAAAAAGTCATATATTACTCTATCCCCAATCAGATAAAAGAAAAATTACTGACAAGATAAAGAGAAAAATAATGTAATTTGTTTAGAACTGTTTTGAAAGCAATCTGACAAATATTTTTAAGTTAACAGTACACAGACACTTCAACCAACAAATCACACTCCTGGGAATCTATCCCATAAAAATAAAGTCACCAATAAAATGTTTATTATAGTATTGCTCTTATGGCCAAAACAAAAACAAAAACAAAAAAAAAAAACACCAAAAACACAAGGAAACAAAATGAGTTCCCAACAATAAGGTAATAAATAATGGTACATTTATACTGTAGAATTATAAGCAGCTATTAAAAAGAATAGATTAGAGCTATACCATTTGACTTGGAGAAATTTTTCTGGGTGTATTTTTTAATGATAAAAGTGAGATATAGAGAAGTGCATGTACAATAATCCCATTTTTAAAAAACAAACATTGATCACAACCCAAAGGTATGTCCGCCCAATGTGTGTGTGTGAGTGTGTGTGCGGCGCATGCGCATGAAAGGTGAACATGGAGACAAATACAGAAGGAAATGCACCAGGTCGCCAGCACAGATTGCTGGTAGTGTGAGGGGGGAGGGGCAGGGATGCGCAGGGGGTGGGAAGAAAAAAATGAGCAGAATGTATAATACGATTGCACTGCTATTAATCAGAAACCTGCTACAACATGGACTAGGGTATAACATAATCGGCATGAATGTCCCTCCTCCACACAGTCCCCATCCTCACTCTCCCTCCTGGTCATCTGGCATTTCCTGGTGCAGTGAACTATTAGTCCTATACAGCATTAAATCCTATATTAAGTCTTACAATCTTTTGTGCATGTTGTGATAATCCTACCCAAAAACATTGTTTTCCATTAACATTTAATAAAATTGAATTTTTGGACCCCACTTTTCAAGTTGGGGTGCAGTTTTACCCACAAACACAAGTAAGTACCTATAAATAAAGAAATTAGAAAAGTAAGGAGTTGGTAGTTATACATTTACTGATGAATGTCCATCAAACAACAAAACTAATTACAGAAAAATATGCATTAAGTATTCTATTTCAGTAAAAGCAAGCAAAACCCTAATTATAAATGTATGCTTAAATACTTTTTTTTTGTTCTTAATCCTCATCTGAGGATATTTTTCCCATTGATTTTTAGAGAGAAAGGAAGGGAGGGAGGGTGTGGGAGAGAGACACGTCAACTGGGGCTGGGGATCAAACCTATAACCCAAGTACATGCCCTTGACCAGGAATCGAACCTGAGACCCTTTGGCGCACAGGCTAACACTCTGACCACTGAGCTACACTGGCTAGGCTTAAATACTTTTAAATGAAAAGTGAAAGCTTCGGAAAGTTGGCACAGGTTACCCAAAGGGAAGGAAGCAGAGGGGAAGGGGCAGATTATCAGCTTTGCTTTTATATCTCTCTGTATCTTACTATTTCACCTATTACAATAAACAAAAAAGCATTGCTTTTTAAATCTGAAAATATTAAGCAGTGAAAACAAAGATAAATTGCAAACAAAAGAAAATTGGGTATTAATTAGCACCTCCCTCATAAGATCCTTGTAAAATTACATAAGATAATCTATGTAAAGTGTTTAGCATACTGCCTAACATATTGTATATGCTCAAAAAATGTTATTTATTTATTTATTTATTTATTTATTTATTTATTTATTTTACAAAGACTGCAGAGAGCTGTAGAATTTACAAACCTCAAAAGATAAGGCCTTTGAAAATGACAGGGCACTTTTTCCTGTATTTCTGAATTTGGTCTCCTTTGGTGGGCAAGGACTCATATAGAGCTCATCAAACACACTTTCACTGATAGTAAAAATAAAATTACAATTAGACTTTCTTTTTAATTTTTATGAGTTTATTTCAGTCAAACTGATGACATGCTGGGAGCAAGATCTCAAAAGCTCTACAATTACATTTTTAAAAAGATATTTAAACAATAAAAAGGAGATGATAATCTTTTTGCCTTGAAGGCTACTTGAAGAACTTCAAGCCTGACTGGTGTGCTCAGTGGGTGAATGTTGACCTATGAACCAGGAGGTCACAGTTTGATTTCCAGTAGGGGCACATGCCTGGGTAGCAGCCTTGATCCCCAGTATGAAGGATGCAGGAGGCAGCTAATCAGTGATTCTCATCATTGATGTTTCTTTCTCTCTCTCTCCCTCTCTCTTTCTCTCTGAAATCAATAAAATATATTGGGGGGAAAGAACTTCAAGCATCTTAAGGCATATGCTTCTATCACAACCATTCAGATGAGAGATATTTCCCACATGTCAGAGAAGAATTAAAACACAATTCATAGAGATTGGAGAGTGGTGTCATTGATCTTTTTGAGAGCCTGTCCACATGGGAAATCCATTCCTAAATGCAGAAATTCCATTCCCAATTCTGAGAATTTCTTTGTTGGTCTGCCTAAAAGCATGTCAGTTTAGTTATAATCTACAAACCGAATTTGGCACATCGATACTATATTCCTATTATCCAATGAAACATTAAAATAAGTTCATAAATGGCCCTAGCCGGTCTGGCTCAGTGGATAGAGTGTCGGCCTGCAGACTGAAGGGTCCCGGGTTCGATTCTGGTCAAGGGCACATGCCTGGGTTGTGGGCTCGATCCCCAGTACGGGGTGTGCAGGAGGCAGCCAATCAATGATTCTCTCTCATCATTGATATTTCTCTCTCTCTCTTTCCCTCTCCCGTCCCATCTGATATCAATAAAAATATATTTTTAAAAAAATTAAGTTCATAAATGTCATGAGTGTGTTATTAGTCTTGCTACTTACATGGAGTTGACTTTCTCTTCAGGGCCTTGCACTTGACCTGTAACAGTGCCTTTGTTGGTATTCTTCACCCAGCCAACCACTCCTATTTTCTTAGCCTCACCTTCTGTGTACTGGTTTCAGGAGAAACAAGAGAAAGAAAGTCCATCATCAAAAGCCAGAATTTTTAACACTTGATTCTAACATTCAAAAAGCACTAAGCTGATAATTTCTTCCTAAAATTATACAACTGACCAACAGTAATTAATACCTCTATTTATAACAAACGTCACTTAAGTGGAATTTTTGTTAAATTCCACTTTCATTAAAGACAAGCATGTTATGAGAAAATAAACTGATCCTGGGAATTACTTCAAAACACAGTTTTTATGATGTGTTTGGGGATTAATAAAATTCAGTTGCATTCCTTGCATCAGCTAACACAAAATTACATTGTTAATCTGGGTTTCTAATGATGACCACTCTAAAATTCTCAATCACTGAGAAAAATATCCAGTTATAAGCAATAGAAAGTACTGGGTTAAAATATTCTGTTGCTTTCTGAATTATAACAAATGTTATAATTCTCCAGGTAAATTTATTTTTCTTATTATTCTTTTTTTTAAATATATTTGTATTGATTTTAGAGAGGAAGGGAGAGGGAGAGAGATATAAATCATCAATGATGAGAGAGAATCATTGACCAGCTGCCTCCTGCCTCCTGCCCTCTCTCTTCTGGGGATCGAGTTCGCATATTGCGCATATGCCCTTGACCAGAATCAAACCCAGGACCCTTCAGTCCGAAGACTGATGCTCTATCCACTGAGCCAAACCAGCTAGGGCTTCCTATTATTCTTAATAGGTTGTGTGTTTTTTAAGTCCTTTTCCTGGTTCCAAATTCACTTATGCTACTGGCAAATAAAAACCTAGAAATATTTTTTTTAATTTTGTTTAAATTTATTTTTAGAGAAAGAGAGGAAGGGAAAGAAAGAAACATCAACGGGAGAGCAAAACATCGATGGGCTGCCTCCTGCACTCCCTCTACTGGGGATCGAGTCCGAAACCTGGGCATGTGCCCTGACCAGGAATCTAACTGCAAACCTTTTGGTGCACTGGAGGATGCCCGACCAAACCACACCAGCCAGGGCAAAACCTAGCAAAATTTTTATTTTGAGTCATTTTAACTACATCATACTAAAATTCTTTGGACCCATTCTAACTAGAACTTTTTAAAGGCATGTTCTGTTTGGAAGCCAGGGTGACCACGATCTCTCTCTACGTTCCAAACAATATGAAGCAACCCAAACTGAGATGGTTATAGCTAGGGTTGATGTACGAGCTGGTTCTGAAAGTAAGTCAAGCTCTCATAGGTAATAACAAAAAAAGAGAGAATCTGATGGTAGAGGATACAACTATGTCGAAATGTGGAGGCGTATCGGTGGGACCTGTGAGAGTACTCAGAGGTTAGGAACAGAGACCTAATCTAGGGTCGGCCAGCTCAGATAAGTCGGTGAAAATACAAGTCACATTTAACTTTTAGGAAAGGAGTATGATAACAAAATCAGTATTTTAAAGGCAACAAGTAGTTTTAACTTCTAGAAACCTGGGGACCACTACCTTACGCAACATGAGCATGTTTCGTTATGCAATTTGAGACACATGCCCTTGGGTAGAGGGTTTCTTCCATCCAGAACAAGTGGAAGAGCCCATATTTGTATTAATATACCTAATCAAAAGGTTTAACTTAACCACCTCAAGAGAGGTATTTTGAAATTCATAGAAAATATTAGCTAAAGGCTAAGAATGCTGTAATGTTTTTAATAGACTACTTTGTAAAGACAGCTCTCATAAAAACCTCAACCAGTAATTTGTGTGTGAAGAAATAAAAATACATTTTTATTTGCTGTCAAGGATGGAGAATAAGCAGTAGACCAGCACTAAGTAGAAAGCTGCTCTATATTTGTGATTAGAAATAACTGTGGAGAAAAAAAATGTACCACCACCCCCCACCAAAAGCAGATTATATTGACTTACCATTCTGAAGCAGACACCTGTATAAAAGAAAGATAAAAATAAAGTCAGCTTGTCTACCTTTAAAAAAAATCATATATTTCCTAACTTAATTTTCACCTATTTTATTCAATAGTAAGTAAATGAAATGAACAAAATTTTTAATGTCTGAATATATTCAAAATGTGTTGAAAAATTTATTTTCTTTTAAAATCAAAAGATAAAGGGAAGATCACTTTTGGGAAAAATTAGTAATCTGAATATATCATTCAAAGTATAATAAAATGCCAAACAGTATATTTAGTCTATTTTAAAATGCTAACTAAAATCAAATGCTTATTATAAGGTCAGTTGAGTATATTTGACGTAACATTTACCTATCCTCAGCTTTTAGAATTTCTTCTTTAAAGACAAGGACTAAATCCAAGTTGAAATGTAATAAAATGTTTCTGTTTTAATGTTAATTCCACCTTCTGGAAAAGGCAAACTACGGGGTCAGGAAACATCAGTTGCAAAGGGCTGGGAGGGGAGAGAGGAGCGCTGCAAAGGGCACCAGGGAACTCTGGGGGATGATAACACCCACCGCTCTGTATATCTCCACTGCGGTGGTTACATGGCTGTCTGCATATTTCAAACCCCATGAAACTGTTCACTAAAAAGGGTGCATGTTAGCCCAGCCAGTGTTGCCCAGTGGTTGAGCGCTGCCCTATGAACCAGGAGATCATGGTTCGATTCCCGGTCAGGGCACATGCCTGGATTGAATGCTCGATCCCCAGTGTGTGGCATGCAGAAGGCAGCTGATCTATGATTCTCATCATTGATGTTTCTAGCTCTCTCTCTCCCTCTCCCTTCCTCGCTGAAATCAATAAAGTTATTTTTAAAAGAGATGAATGTTACTGAATTTAAATTATATCTCATTTGAAAAAAAATTATAAGAAAAAACTCGGGAAATCACAGGGGATGAATCAGGCAAAAGATATTGCCTCAATATACAACAATTGAGCCTGGTTAAGAAAATACAGAAGGATTCAGTGGGTTAGGTAATTTTATGTAATTCTGTAAGTGGATTTATAATAAGAAATATCATTTGTTTCCTGATGATAGTGTATTGTAGCACCAAAAGAATATAAAGAAAAAGAGTAGTAAAGCAATAAAGACAAGATAACCTCACAAATGGAATTTTTGTAGAGCTATAAAAATATTTTAAATGCTACATATAAAAGGTGGAGGAATGATGAGTGGAAGTATTGATCTGAAAGGGAATCTGTTATATAGATGGAGGGAAAGACATTAGCTAGCAGATATAAAAGAAAGTGCCAGAAAACTCAAGAAAATTTTCACACCATGTAGAAGAGAGACAACACAGGAGAGAAAACGGCATAACTGTGGGCCCGTGTGCAGTGGTTTACGCTAGGAGAAGACGCTGGAAGGCCCCAGTAGAGTTGAAGGTTTGGTCACTGCTGCACTGTGCATGGTCCCCTCTGAGCTCCTCAACAGTGAAGAGCGCTGCCTGCTGTTAGGTTAGCATCATGAAAAATAAGCGCATACAACTGAAGTAAACAGAAATTGGAAACATCTGGTCCGGCTTTTTTCTGCTCCAAGAGTGGTCCATGGACGAGCAGCACCAGCAGCACCTGAGAGTATTTTGCTTTCCTTTTTGTGGGTGTGTGTGAGACTTTTCAAAAAATTGAGATATAATTCACGTAATATTAAATACCCCTTTTTAAAGTGTTCAAAGTATACTAAATATACGGTGATATTTAGTAGATTCACAGTTTTGCAACCATCACCAGTAGCTAATTGCAGAACATTCCCATCACCCCAAAAGGAAGCCCCCTCACATTTCCCTTCAGCATTCATTCCCCATTCCCCACTTCCCCCATCCCTCGGGACATCAGGGCCAAGGCCCCTGTGATTTCCTTGGCCTTTCCCTCTAGGCCAGTGATGGCGAACCTTTTGAGCTCGGCGTGTCAGCATTTTGAAAAACCCTAACTTAACTCTGGTGCCGTGTCACATGTAGAAATTTTTTGATATTTGCAACCATAGTGAAACAAAGATTTATATTTTTGATATTTATTTTATATATTTAAATGCAATTTAACAAAGAAAAATCAACCAAAAAAATGAGCTCGCGTGTCACCTCTGACATGCGTGTCATAGGTTCGCCATCACTGCTCTAGGTTTTGGGAGGGCTGCTGGAGCGGAAATCATAGTCACCCTACAGTCAGGAGCAGGGAGAGTATAAAGGGAAAACCTTGGATGAGGACGCTCCTGCCAGAGCTTTCCTGCAAGCCTCAACCAAGGACCTGCTGATGTTAGTCCTTCCCACCTCTACCTGTGGGAGAACAGCAGTCATTCTCCAGGTTGGGACCATATCACATCCCTGACTTTTCCTATCACGCCACACCAAGAACCCTGCATTCCAGATCATCTTGCAGTACTGCAACCAGGACTAAACGGTTGTGCTCCCTCTAGATTTTATAACTTCCTTCTGGAGGAGAAAGCTTCTTTGCCCTCAGGATAGTTCCTTCTTTAAGGAGGAATAGCCATCAATGTGCCCCCCTTGGCCACTCTCTACCCTCTCTACCCTGTTTCTGATTCCTCCTTTGAGATAAGGAGTGACCAATCTAATGGGTAAATTTGGAAGGAGAACTGTGCACAGCCCACGTGCTTCCTTTCCCCCCTTCTCCTGGGAGTGAGTTACCCTCAGAGGTCATGCCTTCTGCTCTGTCCACAGGGAGGCCTGCCAGTGCCTGGCGGCTGCGTCTGATTTGGCAGTACAGCTTATACCAAGGTGCACTTACCTGAAGAAACACATCACATCCCCCAAACCCTGCTTTTTTTTTTTTTTTAATATATTTTTATTGATTTCAGAGAGGAAGGGAGAGGGAGAAAGAGATAGAAACATCGATGATGAGAGAATCATTGACCGGCTGCCTTCTGCATGCCCCCTACTAGGGTTCGAGCCAGAAACCTGGGCGTGTACCCTGACTGGGAATGTAACCTGGACCTCCTGGTTCATAGGTCGATGCTCACCCACTGAGCCACACCAGCCGGGCTCTGCTTTAGTCTTGGCCTTACTTGTCAATCAATAACTCACACAATGAAGAGAGGTGTTATTTACTTGGCCCCTCAACCACAGCCCCTATTTTAAAGCCTTAGAAGGAATTCGCAGCAGCAAGAGGTGACAGGATCTCCAGCCCGTTAACTTTGTGAAGCAATGAACCACGTGGGAATTAGCATTCAAAGCTCCATAATCCACTTGGAATTTCCCCAGAATCTTTCTGAGAGTCCTGATCCCTAGTCGGAAGCATACTGTGCAACAGAAGGAGGCACACAAAGAAAACAAGAAGCCAATTGGGGACAGATTTTCTGCAGCCGATTGGCACTGGCTGGAGCAGAGCACTCAGGGAACGCGGCCTGTGTGGGAGCCGTTCCTATGGGCTTTTGTGGCCTCTCTGCATTGCTTCCACCTCATCTGCTAAAGAGCAAGGAAGCTGATATTGACACGGACAGGTTTTTTACAGACACACTGCTCTGGAAACTGGGACAGGCATCAGCCCCTTCAGTTATGAAAGACTCGAGCACCATATGCTGCTCAGCCAAGGCTCAATCCGCTGCAACAGCACCTCACTCTGTGCAAAGATGTGTCCCTGAGCGACTCTGAGGTGAATATTGCAAAGGAAATACTATTTTAAATCTACAAAGGAATACTGGTATTGAAGAAATCATATGATGTCAGCCGCCTTTCATGCAAAATCAAATTTTCCTATTGTAATGTACCCCTTCATCCTGGGGTCTGACTGCAGCTGTCAATTTTGAAGGCAGACAGTCACCACCTTACAAAGCAGCCCTTAGTGATTTTAAACACCGTAGTGGCTAGAAAGGCCTTCTTTATATGGAATAAAATTCTGCCTCATTTCACCCTTTCTCCATCCATCCAGGGTCTGTCCCCTGGAGCCACACACCACGGCATCTGTCAAATAGTTAAGCTGGCCACCACGCTAAGGTGTTTTCTCCAAGTCAACTATCCCAAGCACTTTAATTTGAGACACTACTGAAGTACCCAGGACAAGCACAGCGTGCAGGGGCTATAAAAACAAGCCACCAGCTTGACCTTCAAAATACTGTCCTTATTGTCTAATGAGACACAGACATGAGTACATAAATAACTGCAGTGGAAGGCAAAATGGGTTAAAGTAAAATCAAGAAGTAGAACAGAACTATAAATGAAACGCTACAGGAACAAAGACGAGAAAAGGAATTAGAAGCCACTCCTAACACCAAGCTAACACTGTCAAAAACACACTTGCATTTCTACAGCACAGGGAAACCAGCAGATGGCCACAATCCATGTGCACGGGCGCCATTGGCGTTCACCTGAGAGCTGGTAAAACATCAGAGAACCCATGCACAGCTTAATCGATTTCCCTTTAAAACTTTCGGAATATATTAGTCTAGAATTCAGTGGTTCTCAACCTTCCTAATGCCACAACCCTTTAATACAGTTCCTCATGTTGTGGTGACCCCCAATTTCATTGTTACAAATTGAACATAATTAAAGCATAGTGATGAATCACAAAAACAATATGTAATTATGTATGTGTTTTCCGATGGTCTTAGGGATCCCTGTGAAAGGGTAGTTCGACCCCCCAGGTTGAGAACCGCTGGTCTAGCCGGACTGTAATGAAACCTAAGGAACATTATAAACCACGCCATAGCTACAAATGCTCTAAAAACACAGGTGGTCAGCCCACTGATCCTCATCTCAAAGCCCCCAACGCACAGAAGCTGGGGAGGGGAAACATGGAGCTTCCCGAAAATGTGGAGATTAAAAAGGAGAGGAGGCCCGGCCCCTCCCCCTCCCCTCGCCCTCCCCCTCCCCCAGCTCACCCACCACCACCCCCGCCCCGCCCGGCCCGCTCTCCAGCGCATGCGCGTCTCGCCGCCTCGCCCTCGGCTGCTGTGTCACCGCCGAGCGGAAGTCCGGGCCCAGGAGGGGGAGCCCCTCTCTGTCCTCCCCCTTCCTCCCCTAACACCTCCTGGCCTCCCACTGTAGGGCGTCCCGTACCCTGCACTCTCCCGAACACCTCGTAGTCCACGGATTTGAGGGGCCCCGCGGTAGACATGGCGGCGAGCCCGCTGCGGAGGAGCAGGAGCGAGAGGAGCGGGGTTCGGGGCACGGCGACTGCGAGCAGGAGGGGGCACATGGGGCCGCGCGGCGCACCCCGCGCCGGGTCACGCGCAGGACGGCGGCAAATGAGACCGCGGGCGGGAGCGGGCGGCGGGATGCTGGGCGGACCGGCCGGGGGCGAGGGCGGCGGGACGCCGGGAGGACAGACCGCTCGCCCGGGCGCCTCGGCCCGCCCCGCCCCCCCTGCTGGGACCGCGCGGCGCGCCCGCCCCGCTGTGTCAGTAAGGCCGGTGCTGTGCCCAGACGTCAGGAGCTCGGTCCCCAAGTGAGTGCTTTTGAAAGGACAGACCTGCTCATTGGTGATGCGGCGGCGTTGGCTGCTGAGCTTGCATTAAATGGGTGAGCGTCCGCCGAACCTGCCGGGACGCAGCCCGTTCCTGGGAGGATGGCTGCCTCCCCCGCCGCCTCTAGGGAGTCCGAGGCTGTGGGGCTCCATCCGGATTCTCCATGAATTCTGGCATACTTGGGGGCAAGACACTTTTAAAAATCTAAATTCTTTTATGTTAGTGAAAGCAGAAAAGAAAGCTTATCTCCTGTTCACTATTACAGCATTTTTGTAGTTTTGATTTTTTTCAGCAACATCCCAATTGCCTAGATTTAATCATTTAAAATGGCCTGTGATCATCAAGTATCTGAGGCCCTGCCTAGATTGAGCTAAAATTTTAAAATTTTGCCCAAAGTTTCTTCTGCTCAGTTAAGTTTTCTAGGTAATTTTTTTGAGTGCGCATCTATGGCATATACGTAGAAAGCTAACATTAAAAACAAAAACAAAAAGTTAAAAAAAGAAAGCTAAGGTTCTCAGGCTTCATGACAACCAGAAAGTTTAAACCACAATACACAGCAAGCATTTCAGTTTAAATCTTTTGCCTTTGTGCTACTAGTATATTAAAATACGCCCTGAGATGAATCACATGGTACCTGACAGCCCCTATTTGTATGGAAAATACGCTAATGGATCCTGTCCATACAGAAAGTAAAAGTGAAGTCAGATTTGTTTGTTCTATCTGGGTTTATCTGGATTCAGCATCTAAAAACACTGATTTCCACTGTCGTGAAGGGAATAATATGGAGGCTGAACAGAAATGGCTGGTGTGCAAGGTCAGTTATCAAACAATCCACCAGAGGAAGGCAGGTGTAAGCCAGGACTGGCTGGTCAGAGTCAAGGTAATGCTAAGGGCTAATAAGAGGCGTTTACAGAAGCCCCTGCGCCTTTTCAAAGGAGTCCAAGGCTCAGCTCTACCCAGGCCCCCAGAACTCAAGCCAACCTATGGGAAACAGACGCAACATCCTCCAGATGTTATTTCCACTCGTGGATTGTGTTTATGTGTCTGCTTTTTGGCTTGTGCTTGTTTTTACTGGCCAGGGCTCTATCAGGCCTAAAGCCCCTCTTTATAACAAACATTTTATAATGCTGCCTCTGCTATCCTGAAATGAAATGCATGGGTAATATAATTTACCCAAAACATTTGTAAACCAACATAATGATCTAACTATACAACAAAGGATAAATAAAACACACTTATAATAAAATAATATATATCAGAATGTAAACTCTTAGGCACTCAGAGGCTCAGACCTATGGGTACTATCACTGTGAATCCAACAACCACAAGTTTGATCAGGTACTGGAGATGCACAAACCATGGGCACTGTTAGCTGAGCCATGAGTTTTCAAATTAATGAATGCTTCTTAGTAATGCTCCCAGCAAACAATGTTTAATCTTCTCTTGGCTCACATAGTAGTTACATTCCTAGAACATTTAGTGAACTTAAAAATATATAGAACTTTATATAAAACTAGAGGTCCAGTGCACAAAAATTTGTGCACTCAGGGGGTGGTCCCTCAGCCTGGCCTGTGCCCTCTCACAGTCTGGGACCCCTTGGGGGATGACCACCTGCTGGCTTAGGCCTGCTCCCCAGGGAATTGGGCCTAAGCTGGCAATCAAGACATCCCTCTGGCAGCCTGGGAGCCCTTGGGGGATGTCCACTTGCCAGCGGGGAACAGGCCTAAGCTGCAGTTGGGCATCCTTAGCGCTGCTGAGGAGGCGAAAGAGGCTCCCACCACCACCGCTGTACTGGCAGCCATCAGCCTGGCTTGTGGCTGAGCAGAGCTCCCCCTGTGGGACCGCACTGACCACCGGGGGCAGCTCCTGCATTGAGCATCTGCCCCCTGGTAGTCAGTGTGTGTCATAGTGACCAGTCATTCCCAGTTCTGCTGTTAGGGTTAATTTGCATATTAGCCTTTTATTCACAAATGAGTGCACAATGCAGCTGTGAGGTGTTCTAAGGAGGCCAGGGTATTGTGAGGGAATTGAGGAACAAAGACCTTAATGACTCCTGCAAACAGAAGTTAGTATCCCAACCAGAACTAAGCCTCAGTTCTCCTGACTTCTAGATTTATGCCCCCCCCCCTTTTTTTTTTCGATCACACAAAAACGGGGAAATGTAATCTTATAAATCAAGACTTTTCAGAAGACTCTGGTCATGTGGTTATTATAATTGTAACGTAATGTTCCCTTTCATGGAGTCTCCAGACATTAACTCAGTTAAGCTTCCCAACTCTACTTCAAGGTGAGAATTATTTCCATTTCACCTTTTCTTCACTCAGGTTCAATGCCTTCTCCATTCGTCAGTCAGATTCATGAGGGCAGATTCCGTGTTTGTCTTATTCACTGATGTATCCCCACCCTCAGTGCCTAGCATAGGCAGGCAGTCAATAAAAATGTGTTGAGTCAACAAATGAATGAATGGAAGACTAACTTAGATTGAAAATTCTCAGAGGAGATGTGTTCTTTTCAATATGTCTTCATTTGTCTTGATATCCCCTTATGTGGCTACTAGAATTTAGTAAATTCTTTTTTGGGGGGAGGATTTAGTAAATTTTTAACTAACTAGTTTGCTGAATTAGTTCGAATTTTAAAAAGATTAGGGATGTCACCATCTCTTCTCTTAAGATGATCAACCATCCTGTTTGGCTCAGGACTGTCCCAGATTTAGCACTGAAAAGCCTGCATCTGCCTGGCCAGCATGGCTCAGTGGTTGAGTATCAACCTATGAACCTGGAGGTCATGGTTCAATTCCCAGTCAGGGCACATGCCTGGATTGCAGGCTTGATCCTGAGGGAGAGGGAGAGGGGGAGGGGGAGGAAGAGGGGAAGGAAGAGGGGGAGGGAGAGGGAGAGGGAGAGGGTCAACAGAGCCAAATATCAACAGTACAACGATTGAAATTTCTTTTGAGAGCCAAATTTTTTAAACTTAAACTATATAGGTAGGTACATTGTTATTAACTTAATTAGGGTACTCCTAAGGCTTAGGAAGAGCCACACTCAAGGGACCAAAGAGCCGCATGTGGCTCGAGAGCCGCAGTTTGCCGACCACGGACCTATAGGATGGGGTTAAGCAGGTAATCAGAGGTTAGTGAAGGCTGAAGCCTTTGATTTTGTTGGAATGTAGTGCAGAGAGACTTTGAAGATATGGTATTGAAAAGAATGAACTGGAAGGGAGATGAGAGGAAGACAAATTGTGAGGTCTCTGTAATAAACCAGGAACCTCATTACTTAAAATTATCTAAATTAGAACTTCCAGGATATATTTTACTTTAAAATGATTTAACCACATTCTAAACAAGTTTTAGATGATTTGTGGTGTTCTCTGACAGAACTGGCACGTAATATTGAATCAGATCGCAGAGGATTGTTTTAGCTTTATGGCCAGATGCAGAGACATATGTAAAGGTCTGGAAGCCAACAGATATGTTGAGAAATGCAAATTCTCAGAGTGAAAGGACTTGGAATCCTACATGGCAGCAGATGATCAATAGCTGTATCCAGATTCTTTGGAGTGATGGGTTGCTTTAAATTAAGATTTCATATTAGCTCACCAGGAAGTAAATTTTTCTAAGCATAATAAACTGCTTTAACCTTCTACCCATGGTCGGCAAATACTTTAAGCAATAAAAAAAAAAGAAATTTCAATCGTTGTACTGTTGATATTTGGCTCTGTTGACTAATGAGTTTACCTATAGTTTATAGGTAACCTATAATCAAGACACTTTGAATTATTCTGCTCTCTGAACACAAACTGACCTTATTTTTAAAAATATTTACTCTCGGATCTACTTTATGTAGGCTATCTCCTGACACTCACAAATCTTCCCCTATCCTGTCCAGTGGCCTGTGCAAGTATGTACCAGATTTCATCCTAATTATTTAGTGTCTTTCCCACTGGTACTGTGCCTTCCAAGAAATAAGATTCAAACTGGATTGAGGTCCTGTCACTATCATTAATCCTGTCACTGACTGGAAAGGATGACATTTTCCCTTTCATAATTAATCTTTGACTTTTTCCACATTTACCCAAGTGTACCCCTGTCAATTATTATGTAGCTGTATTGTAATTTTAGTAGTGCTATAGCAACAATTGACATTGCTTAGCTAAAAAATGTACTGTGTCTGCCAACAGCAGTACATCAGCAGACAAAAATTTTTATGTACCATTTAAGCTTGGAATGCCAACAATATGTGATTTGAATACTTTAGAAATTTTAAGCAAATGTTACTAATATTTAAGCTAATTTTAAATAACAGAAGGAAAATTTTATAATTCTAACCCAACCTTAACCATTTTTAGTATTCTCTTCATGTATTATGTATGCATGTGAATATGTATATATGTATACTTATCTTTTTTTTTTTTTCATTTCAGAGAGGGAGGAGAGATAGATAGAAGATAAAAATATCGGTGATGAATAAGAATCATTAATTGGCTGCCTTCTGCATACTCCCTAATGGGGATCGAGCCCACAACCCAGGTATGTGCCCTGACGGGAATCAAACCATGACCTCCTGGTTCATAGGTCGATGCTCAACCACTGATCACACTGGCTGGGCTCTTCATATATATTTTTAAGTAGTTAAAAATCATAATACAAATTTAATTTTTATTATTTCTTTTTCCATGTTATAGCCTTTCCAATAAATAGTTTAGTAGTTTCATGATATTCTATTTTTACTGAACTTATTGGGGTGACATTGGTTAATAAAGTTAAGTTTCAGGTATATAATTATACATCATCTGTATATTGTACTATGTGTTCACTACCCCAAGTCAAGTCTCCATATATCCCCCCTTTACCCTCTTTTACCGTCCCCCACCCTACCTTATGGTACTCTAAGTGAATATAACCATA